GTGATAACTGGAGACCCTGGTTGTCCCAGAGATTAAGGACTGAGCTAATAATCAAAATATTGGAGCTTCAAGGTGCCTAGAAAGAAAGACCTGGTGATCACAAAGAGGCCATTGAAAACCCTGGAGCACAGTGCCACCATGACACACATGGGATTCTTTCCACAGCAACTGGCTCTAACTGGGGATTATTTCTCAGCCTCTGAGCATATTTTTTCCCCCAGTATTCAAATGTGATTGTTTTTATTTTCTTTTTAAGAAAAAAAAAGAAGGAAAAAACCCCCCAAAATCCTAGAAAGATATAGAGATATTTCCTTGCAAGCAAAATGGAGAGAGACATATTGTTGCTATGATTATTTGGCCACAGACATGTTCCATCCACAAAATGGATTGGTGGCTTCAGAAATGCAGTGTTGTGTATGGACGGTGCAGACTGGCTCAAACATTCTGTACAGAGTGGATGGAACCACTGCAGATCTCAACCCCACCAGCAGCAGAATGCCCCCTTGTGACCCTGGTAAGCATCAGGGCCTGCTCCAAGGCTGTGAGACCCGCAGACGCTCTTTGCCACAACGCAGACACCTGGGCCGAGTCCACTGGTGAGGGTGGTCGATTCCAGCTGCGCCCAGCACAAAACATGTGCATCTTCTAACCAATTTTAGTTGTTTTTTATAAATATGGGTATATCAGTTGCAGGCACTTGAAATGCCTTTGGCTAGAATAACCCAACATTGCAAGACAAAGTATTCACAGTGCCCAGGCCCAGGCCGGGTTCAGCAGGTAATGATTGTAGTTCTTTCTCTCTCAGAAATACAGATGGGAGGCATAGGCTTCAGCCAGAGCCACCTTCTCAGGACAAAATTCTGAATTGCTCTGAAGTAATTTGCTTGGTTTGCCTTTGATAACGGCGTAACAAAACATGGTATGACCGTCACGAAGAGGAAGTAGCTGGTATGCGTGAGGTGCAGGTTTATGAGGAAACAGTTGTCATCTGAAGCCATGGCCCCCCCCTTGTAACACCAGAATGGGTAGTAGTCTTGAGCATATTTTGTATTGGCGTCTCTGGCTATGGTGAAGATCTTGTACCAGAGTGTGGCATTGCTATACGTGTCTGGGGACACAGTCCAGTGGCTATATGGTGACAGAGAACATGCCGAGGGCAGTGGTGAGGGTCATTGCAGGCTGTGAACACCACCTGCTCACTGTGCCCATGGAGAGTGTCATCGGCAGCATGGAGGTGATGTTGAGCTCCGCGTGAGCCTCCCTGCCTGAGAATCCGATCTGATGTCCTGAGATGGTCAGATCCACGTGGGTGACATTGTGAGAGTACTCTCAGAAAGGTGGGAGAGGGTCCAGGGTCAGGGAGCTAGTCGTCCAGGGCCTGGGGATGCTGGGTGGACGCCTGGGCCTGCCCGCTGCGTACTGTGCCCTCTGAAGCGGTGCTGTCGTTGGTAAGGTGCTTCAGTGTCTCATTCTCCGATAGACACAAGTCCAAGTCATTGAAGCATAGCCCTCTGCCATCTCTGGTGACACTTGATCTTGATTTTAAAGTAGCACAGGGTCCGGAAAGTGATCACCGTGGTGCTGACACTGACATGAAGACCACCAGCTCCAGCTTCTCCAGGGGGTGGATGGTGAACACTATTCCCATCGGCTTCACTCTGCCTGGCGGTGCAGGGTGGGCCTGGCCTGCTCGGTACCTTGCTCCGTGCCACGCTGGGCTCAAGGTGACTAGAGGCCAGCTGGGCTTGCTGGGGTCCGGCAGCAGTTGTTTCCTGGTAGAAAACGTCAAAGCTGCCATGACCTCCAACTCCAGACAACTGAGGGCCCTCTGAGCATTTTTGCTTTTCAGTATCCTGGCTTAAAGGTGTGGGGCTGGAGGAAATCCAGTGGGCCCCTGTCTCTCTTGCATCCGTTCTCAGCCCCGCTGAAGGATTTGGCAGAACGTTCTGTAAAGAGTGACTCTTGCAAAGGCTACAGATCTGCAGCCTACACACTCGCTTCTGTGTCTCCCACCCTCCTCTGAGAGCCCAGGGGTGCCCCCTAGGAACCCTGCCAGCGGGGAGGGTGCCTGGGGCTTCAGCACAGTTGAGTAATTCACAGCAGAGTGGGCTGGGCCTGGGGAGCGGCACCCACAGCCTCCAGATGAGGACTGTTCATCTGCCTAGCACAGGCTGGCCGAGTTGTGGGGCTAGGGTGGAGACCAAACCAAACAAACTTTCGGTGGGTTAGTGAAGTGGGGAAGCCAGCAGGGGGAGAGCTGGCCTCCTTTAATCGTGAAGAGTTGCGAGAGGATTTCTCTAGTGACGCCAGATTCCCAAGTTCTGCTCGGTGCCTCTTTCCAAGTGCCGAATAGTGTTCCAAAAGGAGGAGCTGGGGATTCTGGTAGGAACGAAGGCACCGTAGGTTCTGTGGTAGACCCCGCCCCTTCCGTGTGGGAGAACCTGGGTTTCATTTCCAGCGAGGGCCCTCCTGTCCGTGCGGGTGTGTGTGTGTTGTGCTGATACTGGCAGGTTTCAGCAGTGCTTCCAGACAACTGGAAATCAGCTAGTGGAAGCCTTAAGAATCATGATGCTTAGCAACTTATTGATCGTGGAGGTGGTGCAGGACCAACATGGGTTATGAGTTGGGGACCAAGCATAGTGTGGGCGTCAGTGATAGATCAGGACATTGCCCTCGAGAAACATGAAATCTTAGGAGGGAGGGGGCTGTTGTGAAAACAGTTGCACAGAAGAATCTAGTTAGGTGTCCTGAGCAGAGCTGGGAAGGTTCTGGAAGTCCAGAGGGGAGTTAGCTAGGAAGGCAAGGGGGTGGGGGATGGGGATACCATTTTAAAGGTGGAGGAGCAAGAGGTGGCCAGTGCATCTGTGAGCCCGCCTGCATGCCTTCAACACGGGGCCACCACCATCGCTCAGGCTGGTTCTGCGTACCGAGGGCAGAGGGACCAGCCCAGATGGAACAGGCTTTGTGCTCAGCATGTGCGGCATGGGGATGGGAACCAAGGGTAGAGCTGACCTTTCTATTTTGCACCTGCTTGTATGTGGCTTTAAAGAGTTTTATTGACGTGGAATCCACACCCCACACATTGTACTCACTTAAAGTGTTCCGTTCAGTGGTTTATTATTATCATTATTAGAGTTACTGACTTGTGCAACCACAACCACTATGCTCTAAACTTAGATTTTCATTACCCCAGAAAGAAACCCTGTGCTTATTAGCAGTCGCTCCCAGTTCATTCCTCCCGGTCTCCATCCCTGGGCAACCACTAAGCCACTTTCGGTCTCTTCAACAGATGTGTCCTCGTGTCAGTGGAATTGTGGATTTTGTGCATCTTCTATTTAGCACAATGACTGGGGGGAGGTTCATCCATGTTGAAGCATGAATCTGAGCTTCATTGCTTTTAATTTCCGATGCTATTCAATAAAATAGAAATGATGCTGAAAAACAAAAAATATTCCGTAAAAGACATGGGTGTGGCGCTGTGGGCTAATGCGTTAGACTGCAGAGTCATTTGAACTGTAAGGTTGGTGGTTCAGGCTCACCAACTGCTCCTTGGAAACCCTATACAGGGTCGCGCTATGGGTCGGCATCGACTCCATGGCACTTCACAACAACAACAAAGAGTGACTAATACCACCTTTTAAATACTTGCCAGGATGGCTGCTTGGCTGTTTCCACTGTAAGCCGCTGTGGATAGTGCTGCTGCCAACAGTCATGCCTGTGTTTTGTGTGAACCTGTATTTTCATTTCTCTAAACCTGCGAGTGGAGCCCTGCTGTGGCGCTGTAGGATCAGCACTGACCTGCTAGCCACAAGATTAGCAGTTCAAACCCATCCAGCTGCTGCTCGGAAACCCTATACAGGGTGCCTGTGAGTCAGAACTGATTTAACAACACTTAACAATAACAACAACAACCTAGGAGTAGATGATTGGGTCATATGCTGAGTCTGTATTTAGCATCTTGAGAAACTGTCGGCCCATTTTACCTTGACACCAGCATGTAGTAAGGTTCGGATTCCTCCCTCTCTTCAGCCACACGCCACATGTTGCAGCCATCCTATTGGGTGTGAAGTGGTGTCTCTGGGGAGTTTGGTTTTGTTTCCCTAATGACTGCTCTCAGGAGGGGCCAGTTCCTGGAGAAGGACATCATGCTTGGTCCAGTGGAGAAGGATGCTCCTCAGCCAGACGGATTGGTACAGCAGCTGCAACAATGGGCTCGAAGTAGCACCGCTTGTGAGAATGACGCAGAATCGGGCAGCTGCTGAGCACAGGGTTGCTCTGAGAAGGAAGTGCCATTGAGTTGGTTTTGACTCATAGCGACCCTGCATAGGGTTTCCAGGGAGCGGCTGGTGAGATTGAACCACTGACCTTTCGGTTCACACCGACCTTGCAGTCCAGGGCTTACCTACAGGGCCAGACCAGGAGTCCTGTAAAGTTTTACAGCCTCGGCGTCCCTATACTGAGTGGATAGTCCCTAACAAGAACAACCATCCGACAGTAAATGATAGAGAATAGTTTACCACAGGCTCCCTTAGTGTGTCTTTAATAGTAGGCTTTTTGGTCTTTGTTTTTTTGATTTTACTAATTCACATCTTTCCTTTTAGAAAAATCTGAAGCCACTGATTGTATTTTCTCAATTAATTTGCTGGTTTGGGTATAATTTTTTTACATATATGTGTATATGTTGTTAAGTGCCATCGAGTCGATTCTGACCCATATCGACCTTGTATAGAGTTTCCAAGGAGCGGCTGGTGAGCTTGAACCTCTGACCTTGCAGTTGAAACCAACTTTGCAGTCCAGCGCATTAACCCACAGCGCCACCCCAGGACTCTAGCAGGGTGTAAATAACTACTGTTTGGTCAGGGTTGCTGCGTGGTAGCAAATTTCCCTCGTTGCTATGGGTGTGGGAAATGAACAGCTTGGGTTTGGGGTAGGAGTAGGACCGGGAGGGGAGTTTTTTCAAAAACACAAATTCCGTTTTTCACTTCCTCTTTCTCTTTTAGGATAGAATTTTTGCGACATCTGAAGAGCTTTTTCCAGATTATGTTTAAAATTGAAACCAAACCGTGTGGGGACGAGCTTAAGGGTGGGGATAAAGTGCTGATGACCTGTGTGGGTATTGGCTTCTCCAACCTTAGCAAGACCCTCAAGTGACACCGTTACCTGTGAGACCTCACGCCTGCACACAGAGCCACAACGGCCAGGACACCAAAGGGACCAGGTCCAGGTGCTTCCATCAGGGGACAGGACAGCCTCTTCGCGAGGACTCCTTAGTCTCCATTAAAACCAGGACGCCAGTGGTTGCCAACCCTTCCCTCAGCAGCACTGGGGAGAGAGTGTCAGGACACATGCTGAGACCTGCAGTAATGTTTCCTCAGCCCCACATCCTGGACTTTTTCCAAACCTGTCGTGTGTCTCCCTGATTTTCCTCAAGGGTTGATGGGTGTGAGCTCTGGTTTCTGTTGTTAGGATTAAAGGAAATCCCTGGAAGCATTTTGTCGGAAGTGCAGTGCTGTGCAAATGTCACACTGATGGTGTTGAGTGTCATGGAGTCGGTCCCAACTCACAGCGACCGTTTACCAGAGCGGCTGGTGGGTTTGAACTGTGGACCCTGCATTCCAGTAATTACCCTACAGCACAACATTAGGACTCAACCAGATTGGTATACTATACTACTTTATCCCTTAGGGGGTCAGATACTATGTCCAGCGAGTTGATTGTGTGTGTGTGTGTGTGTGTGTATGAGAGAGAGAGAGTGGGGAAGGGGGCGGGTGTTGCGCGGGCATCCAGCTGATGTGAACACAGATGCTGTAGATTTTCTTATTTCATTCTCACAATGTCCTATGATTCAGATTTTCTTTTCTTTACAAGAAAATGAACTTGAAAATACTTTGAATTTTTATGAAGAGCTGAGTATTACAGGGTCAGGGTGTGGGGTTCTCACGAGTGGTGAGCTAATCATTCAGTTACCCTCTCTGCCATGGCTGCTGACAGACAGCCAGCGGCCTGAATTTCCAGCTGTGTCTGACCTCCATCCCCACCCCTGAATCTCTAGGTCAGTGTGCAGGGGCCCCAGGTAACACCACACACATGGCAGGCCAGTGTCACAACCATGGAACAAGTGGTCTTGAAGGCTGCACCTCTTTTCTAGTAAGAGCAGTAAGTCTGTTCCAGCTAGAAAGAAGCACAAGGTCAGCAGTTCAAGTCTCCCAGCCGTTCCTGATAAACCCTATACTGGTCACTGTGAGTCAGCCCCAACTTAACAACAACATGGGGTCAGAGTTGGCAGAAAGGGACAGATCTGACCTTTTCTGTTAGAATTTCAAATGGTGCCCCCATCTGGGGGGAATGAGCTCTGAAGTTGAGAAAGGGTCTTTGCCTCCCTCTTGGTAGCTGTCCTTTTCTTTAGTTAGAGAAAGAGGATGAGGAATCTTCTCTGCTGGCTGGGGTGAGAGAAGGTGCAAGAGTAAAGAGCTCATATTTAGAAAGGCCGGTCCACCCGGAGCCGCGGCCCTATGCTGTACTGGTTTTCTGCTGCGTCACAGTGAGCACATCTTGGCCTGAAGACGTGACCCACATCATCTTGTGGTTCAGCAGCTCAGGCCAGGCAGGCTTGGGTTTGCTGACCAGGGCCCACAGCGCTATATTTGCAGGATTCTCCTGGTGGAAGTGGTAGGGCTGGCTGTCAGCTGGGCAAGACTTGGTTTCTGGGGGCACACAGCTCCCAGCTCCTGTACACCAGTACCAGTGCACGGAACCCTCCCCTGCATCCCGTCGGACCTGCTCTGGCCCTTCCAGCTCTCAGCACGTGCTGCACTTGGATGCCACGTCCAGTTGCCTTCGAGTTACCTCCAACCGCTGATGGCTCTGAGCGCCAGAGTAGAACTTGGTTTGTATAGTGTTCAATGGCTGCATTTTTCTTTGGAAGCAGATTCCCTGGCCTTCCTTTGAAGGAGCCTCTAGCTGGACTAGAACCACTGTGCTAACCAGTTGCAGTGCCAGGAGACTCCTCCCAAGAGAATGGGTACCCTGATCACGTCTCAGACTACCCCCACTCCGTTAGTGTTTGATGAGATAGCAGGAACCGGGGACCAAGGGTGTGCCTACCACACACTGCAAACCAACCAACCGATTTCAGCTGACCTTGAGCCCAGAACTGTCCTACAGCCCTGTCTTAGGGGGCCTTCTGTCACCCTCACACTTTGGACTTGGTGCCCTGTGTCAGTTCGGGTGGTGGATAGGGTCCAGGTGGTTGATGGCAAGCCGTAGGAGGGTGTGCCCTGTCTGCTGTAAACGTCAGGCACATCTGTGCTTCCTGCTGTCCATCTGGTGCATCTGCTTCTGGGGTTGGAATATCTGGCAGGAGGGTGATGAGGCCCAAAGGAGGATAAATTGGTGCTTATTTGAACCACCTGCTCCAGGCTCCATGCATTCCCAGGGGAACCAGGCCAATGCTTTGGGCAGAAGGCATTCTGTGCTGGATTCGGGCACATCTCAGTGACCTCCCGACGGTCCTGCCTTGTCCTTGGGTGGCACAGCCATACCCGACTTTGTCTGATTGGACAGACTTCAGTTTGGGGCTTAGTTATTCTGCCTTGACATTTCTGCTCCCCTCTGCTGATGCACTGCGTGCTCTGGGTCCTGAGGCAGTGGCTTTGCAGGTGGACCTGTGACCTTGGTGAGCATGGGTCATCCCTCAGGCCTGCGTCTGTCTTCCAACACCTTCCAAGTGCACTTTGTGGAAGTAGCTAGGGCATTGCAATGTGACGTGTCCGCATGACATGGTGACGGGAACCAGCAGGGCACCCATCAGGATTTCAGCTGCCTCCAAGAGCAGCTTGGCCTCACGGGTGCTGAAGGACACCTAGTCTTAGACCCAAGTGAGAAAGTACACAAGGGCTACCTCCCACCCAGACTCCCCACGTTAGGAGGTGAGGCCACTTCCGGTGACTGAGTGTTGATGCTGAAGCAGTAGGCAGAGAAAGCTGGAGACGTCTGAAGGATAAAATGGATGGTAGGTGGGGAACCACTGAGAAGAAGGATTCCCCCCTTTGGGCAGTGCACAGGCTGGGCTAGGACTCAGTGGAGTGAGGTGGGACCAGGGGGAGCTGCTGCAGAAATGGAAAGGCCATTAGTTAGGGGTAGGTTTGGACCTTACCTGCTTCACTTCCTTGGGGACCTGGGGGTGTCAAAGTGGGCCAGTCTGGGATGGGTGGGAAGACATGCCTAACCTAGCTATTCCAATGGTCTCTCCATGTTAAGTGCCCTCGAGTCGGTTTTGATTCATAGCGACCCTGTGTAGGATTTCCAAGGAGCGGCTGGTGAGTTAGAACCACCAACCTTGTGGACTTTATTCTACAGCGCCACACCAGGATTCCTGGTGTTAGGTTCCCTTGAGTGGGAATCAAATCGACCTCAGTGGATTCATAGTAGGAATGCCAGTAGGCAAGTCGGGGTCTTCATCATCATATTGAGCAGACCTTAAGCCATTGGATGTAATGCTTAATAAAATGTTGAGCATTCTGGATCTTGCTATTCATTCATGTTGAACACGAGAGAGAGGAGCTCTGGTGTAGCATTGCAGGTCTGTAGTTCAAATCCACCAGCTGCTCTTCAGAAACCCTCTGCAGAGTTGCTACGGGTCAGAACAGACTCAAGGCACTTAACAGCAAGAGAGAAAGTGGATGCTTAGCGAAAAAGAGGGAGATTCTCAATGAGACTAATTGACTCAGTGGCCATCAGTGTGGTTCCAATGTAGCAAAAAGCTTGTGAGGTGGTGTGCAGGATCAGGCAGTGTTTGGTCCTGTTATGTGTAGGGTGGTTATAAGGAGACACTAACAACAAGAAGGAAGACAAAAGCTTCATTGGGCCATTGGATCAGGAGCTGTGTGGGTCTGTGGCTGCGGTAACTCCTCATCCCATTGGACCGTGTTGTCAGAGGGTCTAACTAACCCCAAGCACTGGTCTCAGGGTTAGTCCCTCTGACAATACGTAAGAGTTTTGTCCCGTGGGCTGCTTCCTCTGCCTGTATCTTCTGACTGGTTCTGGGTGTGGGTTCTGTCCTGCTGCTGAGACATGAAGCAGCAGTGGGGGGAAGGCTGACTTCCTGGCTCAGCTCTGCTTCTGACCAAATCCATCACACTCACACACAGTGGTTTCCTCTGGAATGGGACTGGGGGTGTGAGCGGGTGCTCTCCCCACCCCTCCCCAAAAACAAGTTAAAACATTTACCCTTTGCCTCCCCAACTCTGCCATTGTTCTGATCAACATTTACTTGGTCGGAAGAGTGGAGACATTCTAACTCCAGAATACCATGAATATACAGAAGAATACACAAGTAATTCATGTGTCATACATTTTTTTGGTTGTTTTGTTTTTAATGTTTTATTGTGAATTATGTGATAGTTTACATGGGAGAACAGTAGTTTTACATTCATCGTATCATATATCGTTTCATTGCCATGGTTACAATCTCCTCCATGGTCATCACCCAACCAAAGGGTATACCCTACAATCCTGCCCCAGGTCATCAGCACACAGCCCCTCTCCCTCTCTGGATCTCAAGTCCCCAGCTGCTCCATCTCTCCACGTCATCGTCTCTGCCTCCATCTCAGGCATCACTGCTTCTCTGGGTAGGGTCCCGCTCTCTGCTCTTCTCCCTTGATAGTCCCAGGGACCTCCGCTCCTAGACTGCAAAGTAAATCACTCCCCTCCTTGCTACAAAACGTCTACCTTTACATTTCCAACCCTCACAATCAGTCCTGATAACAATTATTCACTATTGTGTCATACATTTTTTGCCAAACACACCAGCGTGTTGCTACATGTTACTGTTTAAAAGAAAAAAGATTGGTGCACTTATGAAAATAGCTCTATGAAGGAGGGGCGGGGAGCAGATGCACAGTTGGTTAAAAAAAAAACCCATAGAACAGCTTTGTTACTTGTGGTAAAATACAATGGTCATTCCCAGATCTTTCTTTAAAGAGAATGCTTGCAAAAGCATTCAGATTAATACATTAGTATCATTTCTGTTTGCTGTGACTCAAACAATGATACATCTGCATTGAGGAAGGCATGTGGGTTCCTAGGAATTCAAGACAAGAACCGATGACTTCATCGCTCCTCCACGCACCCTGTTCCCAGCTGTCAGGATA